GCACAAATAGAAGCATTTCCTACCACATGAAGTAAGCAGAAGACACAAATTCCCATTTAGAGAATGCCATTGATAATTCAAGCCACTAAATAGGCTTATTTTATTGATTGCCATATCATTTGCCATTTTTTAGTCATATGGTCATATAGTTAAATTTAATGTATTTAATAGACTCCACTGGCTTTTACAGTTTTGGTCTTAATTTGATCAAAATAAAAGGTTATATCTTCAAATAAACATAGAAACAAAAGTTGAAGTCCTAAAATTAGAACTTAGCCCAGAAAATAAGACAACTAGAGCTATAAAGAGTTAATGATAGGCAAACTTGAGGGAGCATACTAATTCGATTATAGCAAAGGCAGAGCATAAAGAGCTGTTCTTTTAAGCTATAATAATATATCGATTACCAACTAGATAACATTAGTACTACAATCAAGCAGGATTAATAACATGACTAGGATTTTTCCCCCCTTTGTGATGGATATATTTTACACTTGCATTTACAAAAAAATTGTAACCATGAGATTATAACTAGGTTAAAGAACTTTAAAGAAAAAAAAATTGAGCTGCAAATAGAAGCAAAATAATTAGAAATTATTACTCTCATGACCCACCAAAAACACTCTTAAATGGAGCTGTTAACACATTCCAACAACACCTCCAATCCCAATTGCAACTTTATCGATGACTACCCCCATTATTAACTGTGTCCACAGTCACATTCCATTTAGAAGCCTACTTTTCTTGACACCAGCTTCATCGTGGTCACACTGACAATTCAAATTGAAAGAGAAAAACATAAAAAGAAAGGAAATTAAAGTTAATTTAAAATTAATGGACAGAAGTTTTATAACCATATTTTATTATGTGTATCTTGACTACGTCATAATCATATCTTTGTTTTTGTTTAATGCATTTATTACAGAAAAAACACTATAAATTTGTCTTTTAACATCACTTGCGCATCCTTTTCCCATCTTCATTTTTGACCCCTTAAAACCAAGTTTCATTGATTTTTTCCTTTTTAAAAAAGGTAATGGTGTATCTAGGAAATACTTTTTAAATAAATGGATGAATATACGAATCGCAAATCTAAATAAAATATTATAAATTAGTATTAATTAATTATTAAAATTTTTCCATTTATATATTGCCTAATCAACATGTCATAACATATAGGTCCATAAATCTATAGCTAGACTTAACAAATGGAGTTGTTACCAATCTTATTTAATTAGGTACGACTGGCCACCTAAAGAATCTATCCTTTTAAGGGGTTTTTAAGCATGACTAAGGGTCCCTAAAAGAATAGGTTCTGGTCTACTAACCAAAATAGGGTTTGAGAGTTCGATTACATATGAAGAAGGTTATAGCACCCCACATACCCATCGAAAATGATGGTACCATTTTATTTTAAATTATCATAAGTCTTGATTCTAATGGTCTTAAACTTTTATGTATTGAATATTGAAAATAATTCTTAAGATTCTCCATCAATTTGGTAGAACTTTTAAAAATATTCTCTCACCTCAAGAGTATTTAAGAATCCTATTTATGTTCTTGAAAAGGCTTCGTTGTCAAAAAAAGATTGATTATTTTTTATTTTAGTTTTTGTTGAAAATATATCTAATTATTCCACCATTTTGATCAAAATTAAAATATATTTTCTTTTGAATTTCTAAATACTCCACCATCTGGGCCTATTTAGAAATTCTTTTTATTTCTTCTTTTTTTTTCTTTTGGAAAGAAAATTATATGGACAATTATTTTTCTTGAAATTTTGTTTTAAATTCTTTCCACCATTTAGGACAAATTTAAAGAAATTTCTCACATAGAGATTTTTTAAGAATTTATTATTTAAAATTTCTAAGAATCTCATCATTGGGTAATTTTCAAATATTTTCAACCAAAAAGTTTTATTTTAGCTTATTATTATTTTTATCTTTTTTTTGAAAATAAATATTAATTATTGTTATTAAAATTTATCTAAATTATTCTGCCATTTGGAACAAATTTAAAAAAAATTTCTCACCTAAGAAATTTATAAAAATTTATCATTTAAAATTTTCTAAAAATTTTATCATTGGATAATTATTATTTATTCTTAAAACATATTTTATTAATGTCTTATCTACTTTTTCCTAAAATCCAATCATGCAAGTTATTCCAAAAATAAAAATAAATAAATAAATAAATTCAAATAGAAATGAAAATGGAAAAAAAATACCAAAAAAATTTGGCTTAGCTTAGTTGGGGTTACGGCTCGGCTGTAGGTACAGGAGATGGCTGGAGCGACTACTGGATCATCTCGACTCAGCTTAGCCATAAGGACAAAGAGATGGGTTGCTGGTTTGGGTCGAGCTACTGGTCAGGTTACCCACTTAGAAACGCGCGGATAGTGGCATTGTACTTTGCCACCCTTCGATGTTAGGGCAAGCTGAAATTTTCCCCTTGTTGCTTTTCGCTCTCCTTATCTCGAATATGGGCTCGTTTTTTTGTAAATCACTTCCACAAGGCATAGATTTAGAGTTTAGGTTGTGTTTTTTTCTTTCTTCTTTTCAACCACTTCCACTGTTAGATCATCTCTAGCTTTCAATACGTTATTTTTCTCATCAAGCCTTTCATCATCGTTCAGATCTCTCAGTCAGCTAAGGCATTAGAGATCGATATCTTATTCATAAAGGATCGATACTATCATGAATTTCATTCAAATTTTAGCTATTTTAGGTTAAGGATTGATCGCTTTTGATAGGCCTTTGATCCTTTCATGTCGGGTAACATTCAAGGATGTTGTGGCCTTTCTGCACTCTTCTTATTTAATTGACCATATCTTGAGTTATATAACTCCAAATCATGATCCATTTGAAGAAGTAAAAAATATACTTAATGAGCTTTCCATCAATATAAAATTAAACATTTGCATCAATGTATAAAAATTATAGCAAGCTTCCAAATCTATCCATTATGCAATTTTCAAACACTCTGCATATACATAGTTTTTAGAAAAATTACCATATCTTCACTTAAAAAATAGGGATTTGAATTTTTTTAGTCCATTAGAAAGTATAATCAAATAACTTTCTAATAGCATATAATTCAAATATTAAAATTTTATAAGTCAATACAGAAAATAAATCAAAATCAATGTTGCAAAAACTTTGTTGTTACAAAATAACTTTCTCTAATTACTCCATTTCTTAAAACTAATAGTATCAAAATTATATAAAGTTCAAGATAAATAGATTTCTTTTAATACAACAATTGGACTTTCATTTAAACTCAAATAAATAATCTTGAAAAAGAATTTTTGGTTTGAGAAATACAAAATATAAACAAAAGTTTGCTTAAACGTAAGAAACATTTTTCAAATAATCATCAATCTTGAAATTTTGTATTTTTAGATAAACATTAAACCAAACTTCTAAAATAAATTTTCAAGATTTTTTTCAAATCAAATAACAAATTTGAAAGAAATAATATTTATTTACTACTTAAAATAATAAAACTTAAGCACAATACGAAATAAGTTTTTTTTTAAATCTTAATTAAACTTATTTAATTTCATATTTTGTCATTTTAAAATAAAGATTGATTCAATACTAATAATATCTTACTACCTACAACTGCTTCAGTTATCCCTAAATTATTACCCTTTTTGTTAAAAAAAAAATCTATGAGAATAAGAATTCCTATTATGGGTCACTATACTTGGCCAAGTTATCAATTTAGGTATAAAAGTATAAATTATTCCAAATTAAAAAAAAAGATAAATTATTTAGTAATATCTCCTATTAAAGTCAAAATAAATTTACTATCTAAACTTTGAAAAGTAGCACCTAGTCACCTCAAAGTGAAATTTGAACCTAAGATTTAAACATTGTAAGACTTCCTCTTCCTAGTAAAACCATGCATTCATTGGCTATAAAATTTTTATATTAATAAAACATATCGATGACAAACAATTGATTATTGTGCTCATGAATGATGTATTGATCATATGTTCAAACTTGTCAAAACTTAAAGATTTTAATTAGTATAAATTCTTACTCACTTCATTTTCAAGTGAGCAGAGTGTATTGCATTTATATAACTTCCATATTTATATATATATATATATATATATAAGGGATGCACATCAATATTTGAATGACAAATAAAGATAAGAACAAAATATACACAAGTAAATTACAGCTCATTTATTTGAGAAAAAGAAAAGCAATATTGATGAATATTCCTTGTATAAATCCTTACCAAGTATCTATATAAATTTTGGTGTACACACCTTTTTCCCAAAAAAAAAAAAAATTCAAGTCCCTCTTGCTAAAAAAAATAAAGGCTAAAATGCTAAAAAAAAAAGCCCCTATACTATTTTAATTTTCTTAAATCAATCTTTATACTTTTATTATATTAAAAAACCTTTATACTTAGATTTGTATCCAAATATGTCTTTGCTTCAAATGCAAGAGTGATTTATGTTAAGGGTTAATTTAGGTACAAATTAAAAGTTTGAAGGTTTATTTGGATACAAATTAAAGGTTAAGGGCTTATTAGGATTCAAATTAAAAATTAAGAATTTATTTGAATACAATTAAAGTATAAGAATTTACTTAGGTAAAGTTTTAAATTTTTAAAACATTTTTATTATTTAAGTTAAAAGTAAAGAGCAACATCGATTACGCTAGATCACGCCTTGAATTTGAAAAGAAATTTATTTGAAATTTTTTATAATTTGTACGAAAAATAAATGCATGAACATAATTTTTATGATTATTTTTAATTTTATGAATTTGTTCGATCTCTATTTAATAGTGAATTTGAAATACTTATATGAATTTATATGTATTTCATCCTTGCAATTTATATAACAAATAAAATTCAAAATTTTCAAATTCATATTCCGAAACATAACAAAGTAATTTTTAGTTATTTGTACAAAAAATGTAAAACATTCTAAAGTTTATCTTTTTCCACTTGACAAAAAATTATATATAAAATATGAAATTAAACTTTTATTAAATTTGGGGGGCCAAGTTACAAATACATGGCCTCAATTTGTAAGGCAAATTTCTAGGAACTTTGGATTGGACCCTTAGTTCCTTCCATTTGATCAATTATTCATTTGACTAATAAAAAACATCACGATCTAAACACTATCTTTTAGATATTGTAGTGACTTAGTTCTTGATGGCGCATGTCTCTGAGCAAGAATCAACGCAGCTTTCAACTTTTCCTTCACCTAATAAGGAAGTAAAGAAAAGAAAAGAAAAACCTTAATCAGTTTATGCTCGTTTGTGTGTGTGTGTGTGCATATATGTATATATATGAAGTATGAAATGATTATTACATAATTTTTTATATCATTCAAATCATGTCTGATAATTATATTGTTAGAAAAAATCAATAATTTATGACATATCATATGTATAAATTTATTAAAAAAAATATTCACAATTTAATTATTACATATGATATATAATAAATAGTTAATTTCTTTAATAAGATGATTATATGACGTGATTTACATGAAAAAAAAATATTGATATAAAATAACCGTTTCATACAATTTTTTTATTGAAAAGGATATATGAGAAAGTAGATTTACCAGGATCTTGTTTGGAGCTGAGACTTGTGCACATGGTAGTAGAACAACCAAGCTTGCAGAAGTATTGGGTGTCTTGGAGATTACCAAAAGGTGAGGTATGGAGGATACAATTCTTGACGCACTTGAGAGCACAAATCAACGGTGAATTTCCTGGGGTAGCAACACACATAACAAAGCAATCCTTGTAGCAGCTCGGGAAAGAAGCTGTGGATTGCCCTATTAGAACACCTAACACCAAACAAACCATCAACACTGACCCTATTCCTTTTTCCCCCATATTTTTCTTCCCTTTCCTTTTCCAAACTAGAAGGTAGATAGAAATTTAGGTGTTAATAAACAAAAATCTAGGTTGCTCCTTAGGTTCTGTAAGAGAGGTTTATATAGACTTGAAATTATAAGTTTATTTTTTTATATAGTAGTGTGCGGTCCCCACTACAGTATGGATTAAATAGTTTTTATTTTAAAAATAATTTTTTTTTCATTTTAATGGTAAAGGTATTTTAGTAAAATAATATGCGGTTAATTTTTATTATATTAAAATTTAATACGTAATTTAATAAAGGTGTTATAGCAATTTTAAAACAAAATGTCACATGTCAATTTCTTATAAAGCAATTATAAGAGTATTTACGTAATTATGGGATAAGGGATATTGTAATGATTTTGATCAATTATGGTAGGAGAGGTATTTTCATAAGTATGGTATAAGGGGTATTATAGTAATATTGGCCAAATATGGTAGATTAGGCATTTTGTAATTATGGTAAGATGGCTTTGTAGTAATTATAGTAGGAGGGTATTATAGTAACTTTGATATTATGTCAAATAAACAAATGGAATTATAATAATTATAAGCAAGACCGTTTTAATATATGTTATTGGTTTTAAAACAAAATGCCACATGTAAACTTCCTATTAAGCATTCATAAGAATATTTTCATAATTATGGTAGGAAAGGTAATATAGTAATTTTGCTTAATTATGAGAGAAAAGTATTTCCATAATTATGGTAGGAAGATATTATAGTAATTTTGATTAATAATAAAAGAATGAGTATTTTTAGTAATTCAATAATAAATGAATGAGTATTTTCATAATTATGATATGAAGGTATTATAGTAAATAATTTATATTTTCCTAATTATGATATAAAGACATAATAGTCAATTTATAAGAAAGAATAATTTGTAATTATATGAGCACAAAATAATCAATTTGGATGTATGTCATTTTCTTATCAAATGATAGGAAGGGTAATTTTATAATTTCCATAAGAATTCTTTTCAACAAATGTATAAATTTGTGATCTTGAGATATATGTTATCACTGTATTTTATAGGATGGAAAGAATAAAGCAGAATAGAATATGGAAGGAAAAACTATTTTCTTTCTATCATTTCCTTAATTTGATAAGAAGAAAAAAACAAAAGAACAAAAATTAGTGAATTTGCATATTCTCTTTTTTTTTTTTTTTTTCAAAATCTAACCCTTTCAAATTAGAAAGGAAACCACTTATTTAACATAAATTGATGATTTTATTTATAATTTTATCTTTAATTTTTTCTCTCCATTTTTTATTGTTCATAATAGACACAAAGAAAAATATTAAAGGTGAAATTGTTAATTTAAGTTAATTGAATATTTTCATTTCACATTTGGAAGGATTGGATTTGGAAAGAAGAAAAAAAAAGTGTAAATCCATTCATTTATGTTCTTTCTAACCAAATGAAAGAAAAGATAAAAAAGAAGTTTTTTTTTTTCTTACCAAACATAATGTCGTTGTTCCATCAGAGATTTAATACGGTTGTTTCATGTATGGGATAAAATCTATGCTTCATTATGTACATGCCTATATATGGAAATTGAATTAAAGTAGTTAGTAATGAAAATAAATCCATGCCAATGCTTGTGCCATTGACATCAATGGGTTTGATTTAAACCTTAAATGGGGGGTGAAATCGACAAAAACCGATTATCTTAGGTTAACATTAAGATATAGGAGAATTCTTGATTAGATGTTAATAGTGCCAATATATATGTATTTATATATATATATATATTTGCCAATAAAACTTTGGCTTAATGTTAAGAGAAGGCTTTGAAACGTAGAAATCTTAGCTTTAAATTTCATCATATGTAAATTTAATCTATTTTATAATGAAATTATTTATAATATGCTGGCTTGTATGGTTGTTTATTTTATAAATTTCTTATATATATATATATTATATTAGAATACATTATAGAGTAAGAACTAAATCTTTAGCTAAAAGTGAATACCTTATAGAAAGAAATTAAGAACCAATAAAAGAAAATCACAATATCTTTATATGATAAATTATTTGACACACTAATAGTGAAATTTTTTAACTTAACAAATGAGGTTAAAATGGTGACATATGTTAAATTTTTTGATTTAGTTTTTTTATTTGTTTAAAATATATATTTAGATACATGTGTCACCATCGTAATCGCATTTGTAAAGTTAAAAAAGCTCCACTATTAGTGTATTTGATAAATTTTCATCCTTATATTAAAAGGTCAAATTATATCATAAATCTATATTGTCTTACAAAATAAGAGATTTAGTCCTTATAGTTCATAAAAATCTAATTCCCTTACTAAAATTATTTAATAATCTTAGTTTAATCACTAATTCTATCAATATTTCTTAGTTAAATATGTAATGTATTCTTTGATTTTTTTGAAATGGATGTTGATTTTTACTAACGTGGCATTTTGGTTAGATATTAAAAAAGCTAATGATAATGTGAATTTATTGAAATACCATATGACATCAGAATAATAAGTGGTATTCTAATAAATCCATGTTACATTTTTCAATAAATATTGAAAAAATTTATAATAATAAAAAATGTAATTAATTCAAAAAAATTAAAACAAAAACAAAAATCTCTAAGAAAAAAAATCCCTAACTTGTATTTAAAAAAAACAAAGCTTTTGTTGAGGGATGAGTTTGTTGGGGTTTTAGAAGAACTAAGTATCAATTGAAGTGTTCTCTTCAAGTTGTTTACTAACTTCTATAAGTAAACTAAGTATCAATTGAAGTGTTCTCTTCAAGTTGTTTATTAACTTCTACAAGTAAAAGTAAAAGATTTCTAGAGTTTCAGATTCAAGGGCTTAAAAAAATATTTTTTAAATCTTAAAATTTAGAAAGTGAGGAGAAGGCTCGGAGAAAGTTTGGTGGTAGATGATTGTAGTAGATCTAGAATTTTAAGATTTGGTTTTTTTGATTTTTTTTTTAAAAAGGATTTTTGAAGAAATCTAAGTGATAGATTTGTAAATGAGAATAAGAAGAGCTTTTGGATAGATTTTGATAACATTTTGACACAACTAATTGTCAAAATTGAGTTTGTGTGATGGTTATCGGTTGCTTGAATGAATTCTATGTTTTTATTTTTTGCAATTTTTTGATTGATTACATTTTTAATTATAAGTTTTATGGAAAAAATATTTGTTAGTATATTAAAATATCATATCAATAAAAGTCAATGATCTTATCAGAAAATTAATAGACTTTGTGTATTTAATAGAGGAATGTTGATAAAATTGATAATTGGACTAAAATTATTAAATTTTTTAAATATGAAAATTAAAGTTTTATAAATTATGTTATTAGAATTAAATCTCAAATTCGCGAAGTATATAAGAAATAGTGACATAATTTGACTTAATCAAGCGAATTTTTAAATATCTAAAAAACTAATTTGTGTATTCTGTATTTATATAGGTGTATATATATATATATATCTAACTATTATTTAACAAAACGAAAATGCACTTATCTTTACTCACTTAGGGATGGCAAATCAATCTGAAACCGTCAGGTTCTGACCCGACCTGATCATCTAAGGTCGAATTTTTTTTTCAAAAAAATAGGTTTCAGGTTGGGTCGGATCGATTTTATTTTTTTGAATGTCGAATTTAAGTCAGGGTCGAGTTTTATATAAACCCGACCCAACCCGACTAGGGATATTTACCAAAATACCCTTGATATATATATGTTATTTTTTTTAAGGTTTCTCATTTCCTTTGGCCTCTTTGTCTAACTCTCTCGATCTCTTGAAATTTTCTTTTCCAGCCAACCCACTTTTTTCTCCATTAGCTTTAATCCATTTCTTTCGAATCTTTCCTCTATTTCGGCAAAGAAAGCCTTCAGGGTAGAAAGAAAAAAGTCAACAGGACAGGAAGAAAACGAAGACGGGCCAACTATTAGTACCTAGGAGTGGCTGCTCCTCTTTCTAAAAAACAAAAACTACAACAGCTAAGCCTTCCCTTGAGTGATCTCCATTAGTACCAGTAGTTTTGAGGGAAGCCAAAGCCATCTACTTTACATCTCTTATTTGCAAGTATTAATTTTTTTTTTTTACAGTTAAATTAATCTCTTCATTTTCATTTCACAAGATTTGATCTTTGATATGAACTCATCAGCTCTTCTCAAGGCAAAAGCTTTGAAATATCCTCAATTGCTTGCACAACAAAATGAGCTCATGAAGAAAAGCTATTATTACTTCAAAAGTGAGATGGGGAGGCCAGTGAAAGAGCTCGTGGAAACCCTTGTATAGTTATTAGATCTATTCCTACGTTTCGATCCTTTCATTTTTCTTACCCATTTCTTAGGGAAAGTCTTCCAACTATATTTGAAAATGAATTGGTTATCCATAAAGATAAAGAAAGCTTTCTTGTAGTTCCCTTTTTTTTGCTTTAAAAATAAAGAAAGACTTGTCGGTAGTATAAAAAAAATTTTAGACAAAATTGCACCTACACATTTGAGGTTTCTTGTTACAAACTTCATTCACTGGGTCCATTTGTTTCATGTTAAACATCTGTAATAATATAAAATAGATCCATTTCTTATTCGTCATTGATTTTTGTGGCTAACAATTATTAGCACTTGCATGTTTTTAGGGGCAGTCTATACCTCTTTAGTAAACAGCTTTGATAAATGGATCCATTCCCTTTCCTACAATATTATTACTAATCAATTATACGAAAAATTATGTAAAAATTCATCACTTAAAAATATAAATTTACATAATTTTAATAAATCCCACATAATATTGAAATATAATAGGTTAATTATACTACAATAATTGGAGGAATATGCTTCTAATGTAAACAAATGAAATATAAACTAATTTTATCATGTTTATGCTCTCCATTCTTATTTAAAAATTTAAAAATACTATTAATAATTATATATTAAATTTTATAAATAAAAATAAATTAAATTTATTTACAAATTATTCATCAAATTCTTTTTATATTATAATTAAATCAAATAGTAAATGAATTTTATTGTGTTTATAATCTTTCTATTTAATTAATGAACATCGAAATATTAT